TATTCATTTAGGGTTTGTTTCATCAGAAAGCATGTTTTGAATGTACCTATACGGGTCATATGTCAAACAATTGTTTATTTAATACCCTTAATAATGAAAGGAAAGTTATTAAAGGAGGTTCTGAGAGGGCCAGGATATGGCAAAAGATGAGAGGGAGAAAGAGTTTGTGAGTCCAACGAGCCAGAAATAAGGGGCTTAGTCCCAAAACCAATCCAGGACAGAACATGGTTAAGTGCTAGTGAAATCACTTTTCAAAGGAATATTTTATAAGTTAACTCTTTTAAAACAAGGTCAATTAATACCCTATGAGTGTCTTTCAGTGCGACACCCTTCTTGACCCTGTTACAAGCTCTGTTTGCTCTGGGTACAGAGCTGAACCCTCAGGGAATCTCCGGGGTCTGAACTAGTCGTGTTGCCCTTGTGATTACCCACTGGATCTTCCTCCTGGAAAAGTGAGTCCATGTTTTCATCTCATCTGCCCAATAATTCCCAGGCAATCAGTCAAGCAAACTCATGAGCGCCCCTATGGGTGTGTGAATTTCATCTCTTAGGAGGCTGTTGTGGTATTTTACGGAAGACACCGTTAGAATGTTGCTCATATACAGCGACTGCTCCCTGTTGTCACAAGCAGCCTGCTTCAACCTCTTCCACGCTCTCACCAGATCTGGGCTTGTAAGGCATGGTATGGAAGCAAACTAATATCCCTAATACAGCTAATAAATGTGCCAAGTGTCGGATCTCGGTACATTCCCTAAGTATATCCCTTAGCCAAAGTTCTGAGGACCCTAAGGAAGCCACTTAAGGGTACCTGCTGATCTTCTTTCCTTTCTCATTTTTGGAGGGGATCTCCCACCCCCTTTCCCAGCTTTCACAGACTCATACTAATCCCACTGGACCCCTCCCAGGCATAGTCGTCCCCTCAGCCACACTCCCCCACCTCGGTCACCCACAGCCTTAGAACCTGAGGGTTGAAATGGATCTTAAAGATGATCCTCTTTGTCTAGAAGAAGAATCTAAAGCCCAAGAGGTGGAGTGTGTTACACACAGCTTCGTCAGCTCTCCTACCTGTCATTGTGACAGGTGTCCCATATACAGCCGTGGTGTGCCCATGAACGGCCTTCCCTACACTGTGCTCCTATCCCTCCAAACACGGACTCTTATCTTCCTCAGGGAAGATTCTTAAAGAAAGATTTTTTCTCCTTCTGAAATTCAGTAAAGTGTTTATCAAGTAACTGATGGATCCGCACAAATGTCTGCTCCAGCACTCCCTGGCTTACTGATGTCAGTACCAGTCAGCTAAAATTATGTCCCATACTGGGATGACCTGTTGTGGGGAGCCATTTGCCCCCTTTCACAGCTGATTTTCTGCCTAATAGCTTAACAATCTGACCCTTTAAATCCTTATCCAATTTAAAGAAACTAACAATTTTTAATCATTGCCTGATACCTAAAATAATACACATTATTTTTAAAACATTTGTTAACAAATGAGATATGAAAATGTCAAGTCAGTTATGCACCCTCTCTCCATGTAGTTCTTTGAAGACAGATTTAAGAGAACCTGGAAGCGAGTGGCTGGCGGCCTCCTGCCTCCGTCTTTACAGGGCGATCCCCTCCACAAATTCGGCTTACCTGTGCGGAAGGCCACCTCGCCGTGTTCAGTTACCCGGTAACAAAGGCAAGGGGAAACGTGTGGGCTCTAAACACCATGCCAGTGCCTCCCAGCTGCGGCCCCACCCACAACAGAAGGGACTGTGGTTTCAGCTCTACCAGAGGGCTAGCTTAACGAAAGGAGTGGGTCAAACCAGCAGCCAAATGGTGTTATTGAAAAGTTCAGTATTTCTATCTGGTTCCTTAAAGCAATGGTGTTGACCTTCACGTGTGTTAGCAAGTACTACCGTGTAGTCTTGGTAGCCATTCCACCCTGTTCTCCCAGAAGACAAAATCTGAAAATTATTTCTGTCTGGAGGGAATTAAGAGATGACTTCATTTGAAGAAAGGGGAAAATACTGAGTGATTTTTGTGAGATGTAATTTTTAAAAATGAATGTGTTCAAATATTATTTAAAAATTACTGTAGTAAAAGACACATTGTCATTAATCTCTCTCAGAATACTTCCCCTCATTTTGAACACACTGATCCCACACTTCTTGCCACTTTCTGGGGCAGTTCTAGAATGTCTTTAGCTGTGCCTTCGTGGCTTCCTCAGTGTCCTGAACTGACTCAAAATGTTTACTCTTCATGGGAACTTTGACTTTAGGAAAGAACCAGAAGTTGCACTGCACCGGATTCAGTGAATAAGGTGGATGAGGACACGCCGTAACATTTTTATGAGCCCGCCCCTCTGTCGGATGGCACTCGGCAGCAATATTTACCATATATTTTATCACATCTTATAAAGATGTGAAAGAGGACTTATGAACTGCTTCAGAAAGAGACCAGAACGATGGGCTAAGTGTGTTTGAAGCAAAGAGAGCATTTTGAGAGGATTAATGGCAATGTGTTTTTTGCTGTAATAATTTTTTAAAATTTAAACATTCACAGTTTTTGGATCGCTCCTTGTACAAAACTTTATGCTGGGTGCTATAAAGGGAGCACAGCTCTTATGCCTTGCCTTCTGAAAAGCAAGAGAGTCTATAAACACCACCTAGTACTCAAATTCCCAAATTCAGTGAGGAATAGGGACAGATAAGAAGGAAATAAAACTTTATGAGATTCCAGAAAGCTGAATTACACTTCCTTGGAAGGGAACTTTGGCCCAAAGCACGCCTGTTCTGAGTTGAGACCTTATACAAGTTCCTTCTAGTTTCCAACTAGCTAACTGCACTCAATTGAGTACACACTGTAACCTCCCGGTTTCCAATCTGTCTCAGACCCTCAACAAGTCAGAAAGATATTGAAAGAGGATCAGGATAGTTAGTCAATGAATAAGAGCACTTTCAGGCACCTACAGACATGAAATCGGGAGTATGAATGTAGGGCTTGTCAGAGGTCAGGCATTTTCATTGAGAAAATATAGAATATTAATATATTAAGAAATGAAATATATATATGCGTGTGTATGTACACACAGGCAATTTTTAGCACAAGGGAGTTAATAGAGTAGAATTTGAGACCTTCTGAGCCTTTGACCAAATATATTGCCCTACTCACAGCCACTCTAAAAGGTCCTAAGGACCGTGGGAAGGAGACATAAGAATTAAGATGTGTTATGTACCAGTTCCCCGTGATGAATGTGATCAGTATGCGCTGCAAACATGTACTATTAAAAACAGAGATTCTTTTTAAGGATTCCTGAAGATGATCTTGAGTACTAATGTAAGAGAACTTTGAGCACAGCTGTTTTTTTCAGGGTTGCTTTCTTTTGTAATACCTCTACATGGCTGGGGATATAGCCCAGTGGCAGAGCATTGGCCTAGAATGCCTCTGTAATATATTTTGAAAACACAGAGGATTGTCTCCAGAAAGTTTATTAATTTTTAAAGTACAGTTACAGATTTCCAAGCCACTGTCGATCTCATTTCATTTCCATTGCAGTTTTTAAAGACCATCAACCACTGGTGTGGAAGCAATGTAGTCCAACATGACAACATATTATGAAAAAGATGGAACTAATGAATTATTTCATAGTCACAGAGTTTTAGGTCACAAAAAGAGGACAAATGGAGCCTTCTGGAAAACTCTAGATGCCGCCATGACTGTTTTTCTGAAAATATCTTGAAGAATTTCTTCTGATAGCATTTCTTAACCTTGAAATTCTTCCTAATGATGTATCTTCACCTCTCCTATTGAAAATTGCCTCTTCCCTTGACCTCAGTGGACATAGCACACTGCCACAGAAGTCCCCAGCTTCCCTTTTACACACTCACAGATACCATCTGCATACAGCTTCGTACCTGCATCTACAGAACCAGTGCCTAAACTAAACCTTTCATTAAAAGTCCTCAGAATCTAAACCTTCACTCTTTTTCTCCCTGCTACTGAGATCAGTGCAGACAACCAGCAGAGACACCTGCGCACTTAAACTCACAAACTCTTACACTGCATCTTAACAACACAATCTTAACACTTCATCTTAGCAAAACACACTCCCACAATAGGGCTTGGGATGCTAAATGAACAAAGACGGATGTTGAAAATAAGACCTTCCCACTTTGGTGCTACTGTGGACCAACAAGAAGATTAATTCCCTACTGTCCCAGTTCTGTCCGTGCTGGGACCAACACATCTTCATGGTGTCTAAACAAAATCAAAAGAATCCCTGTCTCTAATGCATTTGTTGCTGCTGAGTCATGTCTGCCCGTCTGGTCATAATATCCCATTTGGGACAAAAGGTGAGTTTGTCCCTTTGTGATAGGGTAAAACCTTTTGCCTAAATTGATTTTTTTTTTCTGGACAGAGTTCATTCTTAAGTGTTTAGCTCTCACAAGTGCCCCGTTCTATCTTGGCTGCCTGGCCACCTTTTCCCCTGTGGAAGTGACTCCCTCTTACCTATTTCCAGCCATTTTGCAACCCTGGAACACATTAAAGATGAATTGGCCTTTCCCTATAGCTAGTGAGTCAGAAAAATTACCAGCAGAAGACATCTCTGGAAAGTGAGATGCTGCGCTCTGAGACCCCAAAGCTACCAGCCAACCAGCTCTTCGCTCAGCTGCATCACAGTCACCTATCCCTATCTGCCTGCCTGTTTCCGAAGACTTCAACTCAGAAACATGGCTTTGCCACACCAGTAGAGGGAAACCAGGGGTTTTTAATTCACAGTCATTAGAAGGCCAGACAAGGTAGGAAATTCACAGATAACATCCAAAGAGCTCAGCTGGCCCCCAATATAAAACTCTAACAAGAGGCAGTGAGGTAAGCCCAGGTAGGCAAGCTTTACTCCTGCCAGCTGCCTCCGGGAGGCTGTTCTACTTTCATCTGTCTGGTTCAAGGCAGGCTTCTCTTTCCATGCAGGTGTTTGAATTTCAGATTCAAAAGAAGGTTTAAAAATAAGGACTTACCTCATTTGCCTAAAGAGTCTGGGTGGGAAATCCAATAGCCCTGGCGAATGGAGAGGAGGCAGCCAGCAGCTGTCACGCCAGCTCCTACCAGGATGGGGAACCACAGGTGTTATCACGTCTGAGCCCTCATCAGAGTGAAGATAAATGCATATGACAATAATTTAAAATCATTTTGTAGGATATTAAGCAATAAGCCACCAACCGGGAATTCCCTAAGTCACTTCCCCCTCTTGTGATTGGCTGCCCAGCCCTTTAAAAAAATAAAATAAAGGATTACAAACATTGGCTCATTTGCATTTGGCCAACTCACACGTTAGTGTTCAAACAAAACAGGTCTAACCAGGTTATGCCTGTGTCTCAAGTACAGAGAGACAACCTGTTAATAGATGAGGAATTGATTTGGTGGTGACTGTTCTTTTCAGCTTAGAGGCAGTTTCGGGTGAAAAGCATCGTGCTCCCCAAAGACACCATCAGGAAGGGAGAGTATAAAAGGAAAGTGAACCGAAGTCCAAATCTGGCAGAGGTGGTGGTGGAGGGGTGTGGGAGGAGCGCCCTTGAACATCTGTCTCATTTTCTAATCTGTATTTAGTCCACTCGACTTTAGCACCGAGATCTTTGCCCTGGCTGTGCAGGTATTGTGTTCTGAAGGAGCTTCCAGCCAGTTCTCTTTCCAGACACTACGACTGCCTCCTTGACAGTGACCCTTGGCAATGTCAAGGGACTTTGAAAAGCTACTTTCCCCTGGCCCCAGGTAAGAGCCTTGGAGGAAAATTTGAAAGAAAAGACCCCTACAGGGAAAGTCAACTATGAGCTCTCCAGCCTAGAAATCAATTCTCAGCAATGCATGGGCTGATTTGCTGGATTATCCAGTTTTTTCATTTTCTCTTGACCCCTACTTGATCTTTTTCCTGTTTACCGACACTCCTGTAGGGGTCTCAAGGAGAGACGATCAAGATCCTGAAGTTGGGAATAAAGCAGCCGTTTGGGCAAGGAGGCAGATGGGGAGGGTCTGTAGATTTCAAATACCCACACACCCTCCTGGGTCAAGGGCATGCAGGGAGTTGCCTGTTCTTGCTTCACTAGGTCACAAATGTTCCTGAACCTGTACAGGTGAGCAACTGGCCTGCCTAGGAAAAATACCATCCCCTAACCATTAACTTTCTCTCCTGGGTCTTCCCTGACACTGGCGTGACATGAGTGAAATGTCCAAGAAGGTTTCTTCAACTCAGGGGAATACCCCCCTTGTGGGAGAGGGAAGGGGAATAGAGTTTTGGCAAAGAGATAAAGATTTTGTAATCAAAAGCAAGAAGTTCCTTATGTAAAAATGTGAGGCCTGCATGTAAGCAAGCCTCCTGGTTAGAACAGAAAGCAACTGGTCAGTGTATTATAAGGTAGGATGGGAGTGAGTGGTGGTGTGATTTCTTCCGTGCTTACTATGCAACATGAATGCAGAGCCTTTGAAAGTGGAAGATGGGCACCAGCGGACTTGGGAAGGTCTTGCAATTCAACCTGATCTTAAAGGAGGTCTTGAAGCTTAGAGTAGCACAGTTTAGGACAGCTGTATAAGGCCCCTTTGCCTCTGTAACCTACACCACATAGTCTTACCCTTCCCTCCCTTTCAATCTGGTATACTGGCCAAGGGCTTTCTCAACATGTACACGTATGCCCTGGGCCTGATAAAAAGAGTAAATGTCATTATTGCCCATTATCACATTAGCCCCAATTAGTTTATCAGCTTTAGATCTGAGAGCAGGGCCCTGAGGGAACGGCCTGCTGGGATTTTGCTTGAGAGATGGATGAGTCAGGAGCAGCTTCAAGTAGCTATGTTCCACCCACAACAGGGTATTTGCTTGTGGTGGTGTGGGGGGGTGGGAATTAGCGCTATTAGTGCTATAGGACTTGAGGGGAGCGGACTTGGCCTCATTTATACCTTTGCCTGAAATTAACCTGAGACAGCAAGGTGGGGTAGGAGATAGGGGCCGTGTGGTCCTGAGGTAGTGAACTTCAAATGCGTCTCCTCTAATGATGTGGCTGACTAGCCCAGGCCCAGCCACCTTTAATTAGAGGCCCTTTAATTTCTAACTAAAGAGTTCTGTCGATTTGTCCATTCCTTTATCCATTCTAGACAGGACAACTGACCCATTAAAAGGGGTCATGGTGTGGGGGGACAGAAAAAATGCCGCTTCATCCTCACAAGCCACCTGAAAAGGTTTTATGTATATACAGTACCTAACAATGTGTCTGGTGCTTAGTGGGTAATTATTTAGTATGGATTCTTTTATTTACTTGGAACTTTGTTGAACTTCCTAGAAGAAAAACAGAAGTAAAACAATACCTCCCCTTCCCTGTATTAAAAACAAAGGAAAGCTAGATTTGAAGCACTTATCAGCTATGTATAAATTCCTTTGGAGTATGGTCTTTTACTCTATGGTCAACTTGGTCTCGATAAGGTACCCAGGCTAAGTTCAGTAAAACAGACTTTTGCAAACACACAAAGCCCTCGAGTGAGTCCTGATACTGGTTTCCACCAAGAAAAGGGGACAAAGCACATCAGACCAAGTTGCTCGTAGTGGCCTGCAGCTCCCTAGTTCAGATGAATTGTCTTGTAGAACAGTGATGCCCAACTCATTTGGCATCAAGGACCAGTTTTGTGGAAGATAATTTTCCATGAACTGTGGGGAGGGTTATTTCCTGTTATTTGTGATTTATAATAATTACTGTACATTCTCCAATGCTAACATCACCTCAACTCCACCTCAGATTATCAGCCATTAGGTTCTCGTAAAGTGCACAAAATCTAGACCCCTCGCTATGAGAACGTAAAGCTGCAGCTGACCTGACAGGAGGCAGAGCTCAGGCAGTGATTCCAGCTATGGAGAGAGGCTGCAAATACAGATGAAGTTTTCCTTATTTACCTGCTCCTCACCTCCTGCTGTGCAACACAGTCCCTAACAGGCCACAGACTGGTACCCACCTTGGTCCAAGGATTGGGAAGGCCAGTTTTAGGAGATCCACCTCCCCAAACTGAAGAAATTTAGGAATCTTCATTACCAAATCAAGCCTATGACAAGGAATCTCTCTAAGCCAGGTATCAAGATCCAAGAGGTGTGAGCCTTAACACCAACACAGAAGAAGGTGGTTATAAGGTCAGTGGAAGAATGTGCTTACATTACAAGAAAGAAGATGCTGTCTATACAACACCTCTTAACTAGAAGCACTATGTTTATTTTTGAAAGCAAATGTGTGTCTATGGTTCTGCCTGTCATCCCCTGCTGATTAAATGGAACTGCCTGCAGGGTAGAATGTGACAACTGCATAGTGAGAGCCACACAAGAATATTCATGTAGATATAATGGGAGCAAGAAAATCTCTCTGGTCCTGTAAAACTCACTGGGGAGGAACAGTCACAGAGCAGAATATCATGATCAATAACCCTGACTACCATCAAATAAGGAACTAGGGCAGTGACGGCAAAACTTTTAGAGACCAAGTACCCAAACTGCAACCTATTTATTTATTGCAAAGTGCCATCCTTGCATCTATGTGCACTGTTATCTAATGCTCAGCTGCTGGGGCGACTTGGCTCACATGCCTGCCGAAACAGAGGGCTCTGGTTGTCCAATGTGACACGCGTGCCATAGGTTTTCTAGCACTGAAAGAGGGTTTATAAATATCATCTTGCTTTTTACCCTACGCCCTCTAAAGGCCACATTTGCAATGTTCTCAGATTTCTGGATGAGATTAGCTTTCCCTGTTATCTTCCTGTCTGTTGAGAAGCTTCATGGGCTCAGAAAGTGGTTCTCAAGTTTTTTGTGGGAGGCCTCACACTGACAGCGAGCAGATTTCTGTGAATCACTCTGATGATGGCTTTAGCCATCGTACGTATGCATCTATCTGCTCAAGCCCCTGCCAGTGGCACATACCACTGAACTGCTGAGATGGGGGACAACCTCAGTGGTGCTGGCAGGTGGGGAGAGTGGCCACCGTTCCTGAGAAGAACAACTCATTGTATAAACACATATACACACACACTCCAAGTTGAATTCTCTAAATTCTCCATTTTTGTTTTGTTTTGTTATGTGGTCCTGGGGATGGAACCCAGGGACTTAAAATAGGATCTTGATAAGGTACCCAGGCTAAATTCAAGTTTGTGATACTATTGCTTCATCCCCCCAGAGTGCTAGGATTGCAGGTGTGCATAATCACGCTAGTTCTCCCTTCATATTTTAGTTCTTCCCGGGTCCTCCATTCTTGCCTAGTGTAACTTGTTCCTGCTCTGTTCCTTCTGCCTCATCTGTCTCTTATTATTTTCTTTCTGTCCTTGTCTTTCTTCACACATAACTTTACATGGTGCATTGACCAAATGGCACTTTCACTGCTGGAATTAAGAGCTTTGGTCTTGAATCAAACTGTTTTGAACTTCTGTGCAGTATCTTCATCAGCTTCTTCAAGTAAGCTCAGTTTGGCAGGTGGAGTGGTACACACTTCTAATCCCAGCATGGGAAGGGCTGATGAGGGAGGATTACATGTTCAAACTCAGTCTGGGTAACTTACCTAGATCCTGTCCCAAAAGAAAAATTTAAAAATGGGCTATGAGTATAGCTCAGTGTAAAGGCCGTGGATTTGAAGAATCAGTACTGAAGAAAAAAGTCACCATTCTCAGAGTCAGAGAGGTAGAAAAGGCTGAGCAAACTGGCCACATCCCAGCAAACTTCCTGTGGCCATGTTTTCATTTTTGTGTGGGAAAGACTTTCTTATAATTACAGCAGCTCAGTTCTCCTTCCTTTGGTATTACTCTTTGTTTAATTGAAAATTAAAAATATATATATTCATGGTATACAACGTAATACTTTGATATGCTTATACATTGTGGAATGGCTAAACCAAACTAATTAAAATGTGTTACCTCACATACTTATCTTTTTTATAGTGAGAATACTTATAATCTATGCTCAGCAATTTTCAGGTACACAATCCTTTATTATTAACTGTGATTACCATGTTGTACCACCAGTAGCTGTTCTTATGTTATTTTTTGCCTAAGAACTCCTTTTGCACTGTCATGGAACCCCAAAAGGCAAAAGAAATTAAAGACTTGCTGCCGTGTGTGTTGCAGAAAAGGAAACTAGAACTTTGGAAGCTTGTGTTTCCTTCTCCAGGC